TAGGCAAAATATGACCCATCGCCGTTTACAGTAATTGGCATATTTTCGGTATGAAACGTCGTAATTTGAAACTGAAAATAGGCGCAGAGAGTCAGAATTCGGCTCAAAAATCACGCTCAGGACTCAAATTTCCGACATTTTGAAAACTGCAGGGGGGTTTGGGCAAAATATGACCCATCGCCGTTTTGCAAAATATGACCCATCGCCGTTTACAGTAATTGGCATATTTTCGGTATGAAACGTCGTAATTTGAAACTGAAAATAGGCGCAGAGAGTCAGAATACGGCTCAAAAATCACGCACAGGAGTCAAATTTCCGACATTTCAGACATTTTGAAAACTGCCAGTAATTGGCATATTTTCGGTATGAAACGTCGTAATTTGAAACTGAAAATAGGTGCAGAGTCAGAATACGGCTCAAAAATCACGCTCAGGAGTCAAATTTCCGACATTTCAGACATTTTGAAAACTGCAGGGGGGTTTGGGCAAAATATGACCCATCGCCGTTTTCAGTCATTGGCATATTTTCGGTATGAAACGTCGTAATTTGAAACTGAAAATAGGTGCAGAGAGTCAGAGTTCGGCTCAAAAATCACGCTCAGGAGTCAGAATTCGGCTCAAAAATCACGCTCAGGAGTCAAATTTCCGACATTTCAGACATTTTGAAAACTGCAGAGGGGTTTGGGCAAAATATGACCCATCGCCGTTTACAGTGATTGACATATTTTCGGTATGAAACGTCGTAATTTGAAACTGAAAATAGGTGCAGAGAGTCAGAATTCGGCTCAAAAATCACGCTCAGGAGTCAAATTTCCGACATTTCGGACATTTTGACAACTGCAGGGGGGTTTGGGCAAAATATGACCCATCGCCGTTTACAGTAATTGGCATATTTTCGGTATGAAATGTCGTAATTTGAAACTGAAAATAGGCGCAGAGAGTCAGGATACGGCTCAAAAATCACGCTCAGGAGTCAAATTTCCGACATTTCAGACTTTTTGAAAACTGCAGGGGCGCTTGGGCAAAATATAACCCATCGCCGTTTTCAGTAATTGGCATATTTTGGTATGAAACGTCGTAATTTGAAACTGAAAATAGGTGCAGAGAGTCAGAATTCGGCTCAAAAATCACGCTCAGGAGTCAAATTTCCGACATTTCAGACATTTTGAAAACTGCAGGGGGGTTGGGGCAAAACAGGACCCATCGCCGTTTACAGTAATTGGCATATTTTCGGTATGAAACGTCGTAATTTGAAACTGAAAATAGGCGCAGAGAGATAATTCGGCTCAAAAATCACGCTCAGGAGTCAAATTTCCGACATTTCAGACATTTTGAAAACTGCAGGGGGGTTTGGGCAAAATATCACCCATCGCCGTTTTCAGTAATTGGCATATTTTCGGTATGAAACGTCGTAATTTGAAACTGAAAGTAGGTGCAGAGTCAGAATACGGCTCAAAAATCACGCTCAGGAGCCAAATTTCCGACATTTCAGACATTTTGAAAACTGCAGGGGGCTTGGGCAAAATATCACCCATCGCCGTTTTCAGTCATTGGCATATTTTCGGTATGAAACGTCGTAATTTGAAACTGAAAATAGGCGCAGAGAGTCAGAATTCGGCTCAAAAATCACGCTCAGGAGTCAAATTTCCGACATTTTGAAAACTGCAGGGGGTTTGGGCAAAATATGACCAATTGCCGTTTTCAGTAATTGGCATATTTTGGTATGAAACGTCGTAATTTGAAACTGAAAATAGGTGCAGAGAGTCAGAATTCGGCTCAAAAATCACGCTCAGGAGTCAAATTTCCGACATTTCAGACATTTTGAAAACTGCAGGGGGGTTGGGGCAAAACAGGACCCATCGCCGTTTACAGTAATTGGCATATTTTCGGTATGAAACGTCGTAATTTGAAACTGAAAATAGGCGCAGAGAGATAATTCGGCTCAAAAATCACGCTCAGGAGTCAAATTTCCGACATTTCAGACATTTTGAAAACTGCAGGGGGGTTTGGGCAAAATATCACCCATCGCCGTTTTCAGTAATTGGCATATTTTCGGTATGAAACGTCGTAATTTGAAACTGAAAGTAGGTGCAGAGTCAGAATACGGCTCAAAAATCACGCTCAGGAGTCAAATTTCCGACATTTCAGACATTTTGAAAACTGCAGGGGGCTTGGGCAAAATATCACCCATCGCCGTTTTCAGTCATTGGCATATTTTCGGTATGAAACGTCGTAATTTGAAACTGAAAATAGGCGCAGAGAGTCAGAATTCGGCTCAAAAATCACGCTCAGGAGTCAAATTTCCGACATTTTGAAAACTGCAGGGGGTTTGGGCAAAATATGACCAATTGCCGTTTTCAGTAATTGGCATATTTTCGGAATAAAAAGTCGTAATTTGAAACTGAAAATAGGTGCAGAGTCAGAATTCGGCTCAAAAATCACACTCAGGAGTCAAATTTCCGACATTTCAGACATTTTGAAAACTGCAGGGGGGTTTGGGCAAAATATGACCCATCGCCGTTTTCAGTAATTGGCATATTTTCGGTATAAAAAGTCGTAATTTGAAACTGAAAATAGGTGCAGAGTGTCAGAATTCGGCTCAAAAATATCGCTCAGGAGTCAAATTTCCGACATTTCAGACATTTTGAAAACTGCAGGGGGGTTTGGGCAAAATATGACCCATCGCCGTTTTCAGTAATTGGCATATTTTCGGTATGAAACGTCGTAATTTGAAACTTAAAATAGGTGCAGAGAGTCAGAATTCGGATAAAAAATATCGCCCAGGAGTCAAATTTCCGACATTTTAGACATTTTGAAAACTGCAGGGGGGGTTTGGGCAAAATATGACCCATCGCCGTTTTCTGTAATTAGCATTTTTTCAGTATGAAACGTCGTAATTTTAACTGAAAATAGGTGCAGAGAGTCAGAATTTGGCTCAAAAATCACACTCAGGAGTCAAATTTCCGACATTTCAGACATTTTGATAACTGCAGCGGGGGTTTGGGCAAAATATGACCCATCGCCGTTTACAGAAATTGGTATATTATCGGTATGAAACGTCGTAAATTTGACTCCTGAGCGTGATTTTTGAGCCGAATTCTGACTCTCTGCACCTATTTTCAGTTTCAAATTACGACGTTTCATACCGAAAATATGCCAATTACTGAAAACGGCGATGGGTCATATTTTGCCCAAACCCCCCTGCAGTTTTCAAAATGTCTGAAATGTCGGAAATTTGACTCCTGAGTGTGATTTTTGAGCCGAATTCTGACTCTCTGCACCTGTTTTCAGTTTCAAATTACGACTTTTTATTCCGAAAATATGCCAATTACTGAAAACGGCGATGGGTCATATTTTGCCCAAACCCCCCCTGCAATTTTCAAAATGTCTTAAATGCTGGAAATTTGACTCCTGAGCGTGATTTTTTATCCGAATTCTGACTCTCTGCACCTATTTTCAGTTTCAAATTACGACTTTTTATACCGAAAATATGCCAATTACTGAAAACGGCGATGGGTCATATTTTGCCCAAACCCCCCTGTAGTTTTCAAAATGTCTGAAATGTCGGAAATTTGACTCCTGAGCGTGATTTTTTATCCGAATTCTGACTCTCTGCACCTTTTTTCAGTTTCAAATTACGACGTTTCATACCGAAAATATGCCAATTACTGTAAACGGCGATGGGTCATATTTTGCCCAAACCCCTCTGCAGTTTTCGAAATGTCTGAAATGTCGGAAATTTGACTCCTGAGCGTGTTTTTTTATCCGAATTCTGACTCTCTGCATCTTTTTTCAGTTTCAAATTACGACTTTTTATACCGAAAATATGCCAATTACTGAAAACGGCGATGGGTCATATTTTGCCCAAACCCCCCTGCAGTTTTCAAAATGTCTGAAATGTCGGAAATTTGACTCCTGAGCGATATTTTTTATCCGAATTCTGACTCTCTGCACCTATTTTCAGTTTCAAATTACGACGTTTCATACCGAAAATATGCCAATTACTTAAAACGGCGATGGGTCATATTTTGCCCAAACCCCCCTGCAGTTTTTAAAATGTCTAAAATGTCGGAAATTTGACTCCTGAGCGTGATTTTTGAGCCGAATTCTGACTCTCTGCACCTATTTTCAGTTTCAAATTACGACGTTTCATACCAAAAATATGCCAATTACTGTAAACGGCAATGGGTCATATTTTACCCAAACCCCCCTGCAGTTTTCAAAATGTCTGAAATGTCGGAAATTTGACTCCTGAGCGTGATTTTTGAGCCGTATTCTGACTCTGCGCCTATTTTCAGTTTCAAATGACGACGTTTCATACCGAAAATATGCCAATTACTGTAAACGGCGATTGGTCATATTTTGCCCAAACCCCCCTGCAGTTTTCAAAATGTCTGAAATGTCGGAAATTTGACTCCTGAGCGTGATTTTTGAGCCGAATTCTGACTCTCTGCACCTATTTTTCAGAATTCGGCTCAAAAATCACGCTCAGGCGTCAAATTTCCGACATTTCAGACATTTTGAAAACTGCAGGGGGGTTTGGGCAAAATATGACCCATCGCCGTTTTCAGTAATTGGCATATTTTCGGTATGAAACAAGCACCCACACATCTGATCAAGCACCCACAGGTCTGAACAAGCACCCACAGGTCTGAACAAGCACCTACAGGTCTAAACAAGCACCCACTGGTCTAATCAAGCACCCTCATGTCTAAACAGTTTGAAAAAATACGTGGCCTATTGGAAATATGGCTCCTGACCGTTATTTTTTAGCGTAATTCAGGATGATTGCACATATTTGAAGTTTTAAATTACCTTTTAACATGTAAAATTCTTTGAACATAGTACATGTAGGATTACGCTCCCACTCGCACTCTTCCAGGAAAAAGAAAACAACAAGGACTTGTATATACATGGCAGATGGCGGTGGCTACAGACGAAGGTCGCGGCCGTTGGGGGGAGTGGGGCTTCCCTCTTACTGGTGGCGGCGGCGTGTGGCCGCCAGAGTGCCAGTGCGTACCGGGTGACGAAGGTGGGTGGACGTGTCGGCTCCTAGCTCCCCACATTACCCTACTGGATTACCTGTCTCGCGTCAACACCCCGTCATGCCTTGACTCCTAGGGGACACCTACGTGTGCGTGTTTTATCTTAACAAATAACAGTAAATAATTTACTTGTGAATTTAGTAACAGTAACGGAGGCGTAATTAACTTTTTTTGTTTTTGAGATATATACAAGAGTTGTCAAATTAGTCTCTAAATGCAGAACAGCCACGCAATTCTCGATTCACTTCCGAGTGTGAGGGAGAACACATGATAGCTAAGGTGTGATACAAGGTGTGTACAGATTGCGATTGCAACTTGTCCAGTATGCAAGAGTGGTGGGAGGAGTGTGGTGCGAACTCTGACAGCTGCTACCACGTGCTTAGGGTCCACTCTCCCCTACCCCCTACTGACTCACCCAACCCCCCTTCAGCCCACACCAACTGCAGGTAGGTACTCCTCTAGGTGTACTTACAGGGTCGAGCAATTACTCAAGAGCCTCACATCTCCATCTCCTGCTCAGGAGGATAATGTCATTCCTTCTGTTTTCCGTCTTATTATCTTGAGAAGTAGCTTTCAACTATCTCTTGTAATCTGTTCTATTTACTTGCGACGCTTAAGCTGAAGATGTTTTCCTGGTCTCACCAGTTCAGCTGTGGTGTCCCCAGCTTCCATTTTTTTTATTGTGGCCGCCGGAGGCGGTTAGTTTATTGTGCACCCCATACTCATCCTGTGAGCGGTTACCTTACCTTGAGATGGTTTCGGGGCTTAGAGTCCCCGCGGCCCGTTCCTCGACCAGGCCTCCTCGTTGCTTGACTGGTCAACCAGGTCAACCACACACACAACCACATATATTGTATACCACATATGTGAGAAAAATCCTGGAGTATGCGGCCCCAGTATGGACCCCGTACCTTGTCAACCACAAGACGAAGCTTGAAAAAGTTCAGAGGTATGGCACTAGGCTAGTCCCAGAACTGAGAGATTGAAGTGGGTAGAATTCTACCCACTTCAAGACTCCGAACCAATATAGAAGCATCAAGAAGAAGTATTTGTCAATAGGCCCTCTGCAGTTACTTCCATTTTTATGTTCTCATATCCAATTTATACCCACTGTTTCGTGTTTTGTCTTGTGTTTGTCACAAGTTTGTTCACCTCACCCAAAACTGTTGTACCAAAACTGTTGTGTATGTATATATATATATATATATATATATATATATATATATATATATATATATATATATATATATATATATATATATATATATAGCTAGAACAATACTTGGCCTACTATGCAAAGTCCGATTTGCCTAATAAGCCAAGTTTTCCTGAATTTATATATTTTCTAAATTTTTTTCTTATGAAATGATAAAGGTATCCATTTCATTATGTATGAGTTAATTTTCTTAAATTTGAGTTAAAACTAACGTAGATATATGACCAAACCTAACCAACCCTACCTAACCTAACCTTACCTAACCTATCTTAGTCTAACCTAAACTAACATAACTAAGTCAATAATTGATGTTCCTTGTATAATGTATTAATAATAATTCAAATAAACCAATTGAAAAAAATATGGAAAATAAAGAAAATTACTCGGCCTACTAGGCAAATCGGGCCTTGCATAGTAGGCCGAGAAGTGCATTCTGGCTACTAGGTACGACATATGTTTATATATATATATACATGTTTATATATATATATATATATATAAACTGAAAACTCACACCCCAGAAGTGACTCAAACCCATACTGCCAGGAGCAATGCAACTGGTATGTACAGGACGCCTTAATCCACTTGACCATCACGACCGGACAAAAGGAAGTGATAGCCGATGCTATTTGAACCACTTCCCCGCCGGCACTCGGATGGTAATCTTGGGCATAGCATTTTATCAAATCACCTCATTCTTTGGGGCACACGTGAGGAACACAAATGCGAAGTTGCATATAGTCCTGGGAACCATTCAGGCTTGTTCGCATATTATATATATATATATTACACACATTATATATATATATATATAACTGAAAACTCACACCCCAGAAGTGACTCGAACCCATACTCCCACAACTGGTATGTACAGGGACGCCTTAATCCGCTTGACCATCACGACCGGACAAAAGGAAGTGATAGCCGAGGCTATATGAACCGCTTCCCCGCCGGCACTCGGATGGTAATCTTGGGCATAGCATTTTATCAAATCACCTCATTCTTTGGGGCACACATGAGGAACACAAATGCAAACAAGCCTGAATGGTCCCCAGGACTATATACAACTGAAAACTCACACCCCAGAAGTGACTCGAACCCATACTCCCACAACTGGTATGTACAGGGACGCCTTAATCCGCTTGACCATCACGACCGGACAAAAGGAAGTGATAGCCGAGGCTATATGAACCACTTCCCCGCCGGCACTCGGATGGTAATCTTGGGCATAGCATTTTATCAAATCACCTCATTCTTTGGGGCACACGTGAGGAACACAAATGCAAACAAGCCTGAATGGTCCCCAGGACTATATACAACTGAAAACTCACACCCCAGAAGTGACTCGAACCCATACTCCCACAACTGGTATGTACAGGGACGCCTTAATCCGCTTGACCATCACGACCGGACAAAAGGAAGTGATAGCCGAGGCTATATGAACCACTTCCCCGCCGGCACTCGGATGGTAATCTTGGGCATAGCATTTTATCAAATCACCTCATTCTTTGGGGCACACGTGAGGAACACAAATGCAAACAAGCCTGAATGGTCCCCAGGACTATATACAACTGAAAACTCACACCCCAGAAGTGACTCGAACCCATACTCCCACAACTGGTATGTACAGGGACGCCTTAATCCGCTTGACCATCACGACCGGACAAAAGGAAGTGATAGCCGAGGCTATATGAACCACTTCCCCGCCGGCACTCGGATGGTAATCTTGGGCATAGCATTTTATCAAATCACCTCATTCTTTGGGGCACACGTGAGGAACACAAATGCAAACAAGCCTGAATGGTCCCCAGGACTATATACAACTGAAAACTCACACCCCAGAAGTGACTCGAACCCATACTCCCACAACTGGTATGTACAGGGACGCCTTAATCCGCTTGACCATCACGACCGGACAAAAGGAAGTGATAGCCGAGGCTATATGAACCACTTCCCCGCCGGCACTCGGATGGTAATCTTGGGCATAGCATTTTATCAAATCACCTCATTCTTTGGGGCACACGTGAGGAACACAAATGCAAACAAGCCTGAATGGTCCCCAGGACTATATACAACTGAAAACTCACACCCCAGAAGTGACTCGAACCCATACTCCCACAACTGGTATGTACAGGGACGCCTTAATCCGCTTGACCATCACGACCGGACAAAAGGAAGTGATAGCCGAGGCTATATGAACCACTTCCCCGCCGGCACTCGGATGGTAATCTTGGGCATAGCATTTTATCAAATCACCTCATTCTTTGGGGCACACGTGAGGAACACAAATGCAAACAAGCCTGAATGGTCCCCAGGACTATATACAACTGAAAACTCACACCCCAGAAGTGACTCGAACCCATACTCCCACAACTGGTATGTACAGGGACGCCTTAATCCGCTTGACCATCACGACCGGACAAAAGGAAGTGATAGCCGAGGCTATATGAACCACTTCCCCGCCGGCACTCGGATGGTAATCTTGGGCATAGCATTTTATCAAATCACCTCATTCTTTGGGGCACACGTGAGGAACACAAATGCAAACAAGCCTGAATGGTCCCCAGGACTATATACAACTGAAAACTCACACCCCAGAAGTGACTCGAACCCATACTCCCACAACTGGTATGTACAGGGACGCCTTAATTTTTCAACCAACAACCATTCAGGCTTGTTTGCATTTGTGTTCCTCACGTGTGCCCCAAAGAATGAGGTGATTTGATAAAATGCTATGCCCAAGATTACCATCCGAGTGCCGGCGGGGAAGTGGTTCATATAGCCTCGGCTATCACTTCCTTTTGTCCGGTCGTGATGGTCAAGCGGATTAAGGCGTCCCTGTACATACCAGTTGTGGGAGTATGGGTTCGAGTCACTTCTGGGGTGTGAGTTTTCAGTTGTATATAGTCCTGGGGACCATTCAGGCTTGTTTGCATTTGTGTTCCTCACGTGTGCCCCAAAGAATGAGGTGATTTGATAAAATGCTATGCCCAAGATTACCATCCGAGTGCCGGCGGGGAAGTGGTTCATATAGCCTCGGCTATCACTTCCTTTTGTCCGGTCGTGATGGTCAAGCGGATTAAGGCGTCCCTGTACATACCAGTTGTGGGAGTATGGGTTCGAGTCACTTCTGGGGTGTGAGTTTTCAGTTGTATATAGTCCTGGGGACCATTCAGGCTTGTTTGCATTTGTGTTCCTCACGTGTGCCCCAAAGAATGAGGTGATTTGATAAAATGCTATGCCCAAGATTACCATCCGAGTGCCGGCGGGGAAGTGGTTCATATAGCCTCGGCTATCACTTCCTTTTGTCCGGTCGTGATGGTCAAGCGGATTAAGGCGTCCCTGTACATACCAGTTGTGGGAGTATGGGTTCGAGTCACTTCTGGGGTGTGAGTTTTCAGTTGTATATAGTCCTGGGGACCATTCAGGCTTGTTTGCATTTGTGTTCCTCACGTGTGCCCCAAAGAATGAGGTGATTTGATAAAATGCTATGCCCAAGATTACCATCCGAGTGCCGGCGGGGAAGTGGTTCATATAGCCTCGGCTATCACTTCCTTTTGTCCGGTCGTGATGGTCAAGCGGATTAAGGCGTCCCTGTACATACCAGTTGTGGGAGTATGGGTTCGAGTCACTTCTGGGGTGTGAGTTTTCAGTTGTATATAGTCCTGGGGACCATTCAGGCTTGTTTGCATTTGTGTTCCTCACGTGTGCCCCAAAGAATGAGGTGATTTGATAAAATGCTATGCCCAAGATTACCATCCGAGTGCCGGCGGGGAAGTGGTTCATATAGCCTCGGCTATCACTTCCTTTTGTCCGGTCGTGATGGTCAAGCGGATTAAGGCGTCCCTGTACATACCAGTTGTGGGAGTATGGGTTCGAGTCACTTCTGGGGTGTGAGTTTTCAGTTGTATATAGTCCTGGGGACCATTCAGGCTTGTTTGCATTTGTGTTCCTCACGTGTGCCCCAAAGAATGAGGTGATTTGATAAAATGCTATGCCCAAGATTACCATCCGAGTGCCGGCGGGGAAGTGGTTCATATAGCCTCGGCTATCACTTCCTTTTGTCCGGTCGTGATGGTCAAGCGGATTAAGGCGTCCCTGTACATACCAGTTGTGGGAGTATGGGTTCGAGTCACTTCTGGGGTGTGAGTTTTCAGTTGTATATAGTCCTGGGGACCATTCAGGCTTGTTTGCATTTGTGTTCCTCACGTGTGCCCCAAAGAATGAGGT